AGCGTCTTCGAACAGCCCCAGAGGACACGAGAAAAGAAGAGAAGAGGAGAAGAGAAGAGGAGAACAGTAGAGGAGGCGCGACTTCTTCGAACAGCATAGATGAAGGAGCAGCCGTTGAAGGTGGTGCGGTGGCGCGGCGGCGCGACGTTTTCGAACAGCAGAGGACACGAGCAAAAAAGAGAAGAGGGGAAGAGAAGAGGAGAACAACAGAGGAGGCGCGGCTTCTTCGAACAGCAGAGAAGAGGAGCCAAGGTGGTGTTCAAGGTGGGAGCAGTGGTGGAGGGAAAAGGAGGGGACGAAGGCTAGGTTCGGGTTTCTGGGTTTGAGTTGAATGAAACAGTGGTCGTGGAGGGAATGGGGGTTTGATTCGAATGAAACAGTGGTTGAATGAAATAATGTTAAGGAAAGGAGGAAGAAAGGAAGGGGGAAGAAAGGAGAGAAAAGGGCCGCTTTTTTTTTAAAAAAAAACCACCGGTTCACAAGTTATTTTTTTTTTAATTTTTGGCACCGGTTTGAGTTGAACCGGTGCCTTTTATCAATGTATAAATCCCGCCCTATTTTGGGCCGGTTTTTGGCACCGGTTTGGCTTGAACCGGTGCCATTAGGGGGTTGCCTTTTTGTATTTTTCTACTAGTGAAATGTGATCAACAACTTATCCTCACAAATGACAAACTTGGGGAAAGAAATGACCGCAATCAAGGCCAAGTTGGAAGGTCCCTTTTCTTCTCAAGATTTGAATTATCACTCCCAATTTAAGGGGAGAGGTACCTTTTCTAACTCTCAACCCCCTCCTTCTTCAAATAATATGCCCAGTGGTTGCTTGTTTTGTGACCGCAATCATGACTATTGTAATTGCCCTCATGCTTCTCTGGAATGTGGTGATGATTTTGATAATAGTGAGAGTGAGCATGTGAATTATGTGTCAAATAATAATGTGCAAAGGTTTGATAATCAAAGAGGTCAATGGAATAGGAATTACCAAAACCAAGGTAATTTTGACAACTATAACCAAGGTGGTGGATATAGGAACCAAGGGAACCAAAGTTCTCGTGGCAACTATAACAATCAAGGTTATAGTAGTCAAAATCAAAACCAAAATTATGGTAATCAAAACCAAAGTTATGGAAATCATAACCAAGGTAGTGGAAACCATAATCAAGGTTATGGTCAAAATCAAAATAGGGGTAATTGGAACAATCAAGGTAGGGGCAATTTTCAAAATAATTCTCAAAGAGGTCCCCCACCCGGATTTGTTCCAAAGACTCAAGGTGAAAATTCCTATTCACAATCTTCTTCTTCTAGGACCAATTTGGAGGAAATAATTGAAAATCAAACCAAGTTGTTGAACACATATATGGCCGTTAGTGACAAGAAGTTCAATGAAATGATGACCCACAACAAAATGCTCGAAAACCAAATTTCTCAACTTGCTAGTGCTTTGAAAAACCAAGCAAGCCCTTCTTCTTTACCTTCCCAAGGCCTAGATCCCAAGAAACCCGTGAATGATATTGTTACAAGGAGTGGTAAGGTTCTTGAGGAGAGATTGCCTAGGAAGAGTGATAACAAGGAGGTCCCCAAGGAAGTTTTGGTTGAGAATGAGGGAAGTAGAGCATCTTTAGATGAGGTTGTGGTTGAGACATCAAGAGAGGTGAGAGTAGAGAAAGAGATTGTGAAACCCAAGCTCCCTTATCCACAAAAATTCATGAGACACAAATTGGATGAGCAATTTGGGAGATATATTGATATGCTCAAACAACTTCACCTTTCTCTACCTTTCACCGACGTGATCAACCAAATGCCTAATTATGCCAAATTCCTCAAAGACATTTTGAGCGGAAAGAGGACTTGTGGTGTTGTGGAGACAATCAATTTGACTGAAAATTGCAGTGCGATCATCATGAACAAAATGCCACCCAAGTTGAAAGACCCCGAAAACTTTTCCATCCCTTGTGCTATTAATAAGATGTAATTTGATAATGCCTTATGTGACTTAGGAGCTAGTGTAAGCTTAATTCCATATTCGGTTTATCAAAGACTCGATCTAGGGGAACTCTCACCTTCTAACATTACCTTGCAACTAGCCGATAGGTCAATCAAGTTTCCAAAAGGTAAAGTGGAAGATGTTCCATTGAGGGTTGGGAATTTTGTGTTCCCGGTGGATTTTGTTGTTTTAGAAATGGATGAAGATGCTACCATTCCAATTATTTTAGGTAGACCCTTTCTTCCTACCTCGGGTGCTATGATAGATGTAAAGTGTGCAAAGATTTCCCTTAAGGTAGGAGATGAGGTCATAGAATTCGATTTGAATGAAAGCATGAAATATCCAAGTTCTTCTCTTGAAAATTGCATGATGATTGACTCTCTTGATCATGTTGTGTCTTCCATGCATGAGCACTTGCTCACCTCTAACGATGCTCTTCAGAATGTTTTGTTGAACAAAGACAAGCTAGGTGTAACATGCAAGGAGGTAGCATTGTATGAGGAATTTCTTAATGGAAGCATGGAGGAAGTGGATGAACAAGTGTGCTTGAAGATCTCAAGCCATGAAGCTTTGCAAGCGGCCGCAACAAAAGAAGGTAAAGGTGTGCCTATGGTAGAGCTCAAACCTCTACCATCACACCTTAGGTATGAATTCTTAGGCCCAAATTCCACTTACCCCGTAATTGTTAGTGCATCCTTGAGCAAGAGCCAAGCTCAAGCGTTATGTTGTGTCTTGAGAAAGCACCAAGGTGCTTTGGGCTATACTATCGATGATCTTAAAGGTATAAGCCCCGCTTTGTGTATGCACCACATAACTCTTGAGGAAGGCACCCTTCCTTCTATTGAACGACAAAGAAAGCTACACCCTCAAACGGGAGAAGTAGTGAAAAAAGAGATCATCAAGCTCTTGGATGCGGGAATCATATTCCCCATCTCAAGCTCTAGGTGGGTTTCTCCCGTTCATGTCGTTCCTAAGAAGGGGGTATGACCGTAGTCAAGAATGAGAGTGGTGAGCTCATTCCAACTAGGACGGTCACCGGTTGGAGGATGTGTATAGACTATAGACGTCTAAATACATCCACCAAAAAATATCACTTTCCCCTTCCATTCATTGATCAATTGTTAGAGAGACTAACAAGGCACAAGTTCTATTGCTTCCTTGATGGCTATTCAGGATTTTTCCAAATTCCAATCCACCCCGATGATCAAGAGAAGACAACATTTACATGCCCCTATGGGACCTTTGCCTATAGGAGAATGCCCTTTGGCCTTTGTAATGCCCCCGCAACTTTCTAAAGGTGCATGATGAGCATTTTTGGAGACATGTTGGAGGAAGAAATGGAGGTATTTATGGATGATTTCTCCATAGGTGGGGTTTCATTTGAAGAGTGCCTAGTTAATCATGAGAAATGTTTGGCTCGGTGTGTAAAGGTTAATCTTGTCTTGAATTGGGAGAAATGCCATTTCATGGTGGAGGAAGGGATAGTGCTTGGGCATAAGATCTCTCATAAAGGAATAGAGGTGGATAAGGCCAAAATTGAGGTTATTGAGAAGCTTCCACCTCTAGTGAATGTCAAGGGAGTGAGATCATTTTTGCATCATGCGGGTTTCTATAGAAGATTCATCAAGGATTTCTCACTCATTGCTAAGCCCCTTAATGATCTTCTTCAAAAATATGTTGAGTTTGTTTTTGATGATAAATTCTTGGAAGCATTTGATAGATTGAAGAAGGCCCTAATCTCTACCCCATTGTTTAAGCCCCAAGATGGGATCTACCCTTTGAATTGATGTGTGATGCTAGTGATTGGGCAATTGGAGGTGTTTTGGGACAACGTGCGGACAAGAAGCTTTATGTAATTTACTATATGTCCAAGACACTAAATGGGGCTCAAAAGAATTACACAACAACGGAAAAAGAATTCTTGGCCATTGTTCACTCTTTTGAGAAATTCCGGTGTTATTTGTTGGGTTCCAAGACCATTGTCTTCACGGATCATGCGGCTCTCAAATATCTCTTTTCCAAGAAAGAGTCCAAGCTAAGGTTGATTCGTTGGGTTCTTGAATTACAAACTTTTGAAACAGAGATTAAGGATAAGAAGGGTGTGGAAAATGTTGTGGCGGACCATCTTTCTCGCCTTGAGGGTGATCAAATTCATGATGATGGTCTACCAATTGAAGATGGAATGCTTGATGATGTCTTGTATGCCATTAAGGTTAAGGATATCCCATGATATGCCGACTTGGTGAAATTTCTAGCATGTGGGGAGTTTCCACCTTCTTTCTCCAAGAACCAAAAGAAGAAGCTCAAGAGGGAGGCGAGACATTACTTGTGGGATGAATTAATCTTGTATAAACGCGGGGTGGATGGCTTACTTCGGCGTTGTGTCCTGAATGAAGAGGTGCCAAGTGTTCTAAAGATGTGCCATTCGGATCCAAGTGGCGGTCATATGGGCGTTTCAAAAACCGCCACTAAGGTTCTTCAATGTGGTTTGTGGTGACCACATCTCTTTAAAGATTCGTGGGGCTCTTTAAAGTCATGCGACCGATGTCAAAGGGTTGGGAATATCTCCAAGAGGAATGAGATGCCTCAACAGCCCATTCTTGAGTTAGAGGTGTTCGATGATTGGGGGATTGACTTCATGGGACCATTCCCATCTTCATTTGGTAATCAATTCATACTTGTGGCTGTGGACTATGTTTCTAAATGGGTTGAGGCCATTGCCTCTCCTACCAATGACCACAAAGTAGTGTTGAAGTTGTTCAACAAAATCATCTTCCCAAGGTTTGGCGTACCTAAGGCTGTGATAAGCGATAACGGATCTCATTTTGTTCACAACGCCTTCCAAAAGATGTTGAGGAAACATGGAGTGCATAAACGGTTCAGCCTTCCATACCATCCTCAATCGAGTGGCCAAGTCGAGGTCTCCAATCGTTAAATAAAGCTCATTCTTGAGAAGACGGTTGCAAGGAATAGAAAGGATTGGTCGGACAAGTTATATGATGCTCTTTGGGCTTATAGGATGGCTTTCAAGACGCCTATTGGTACCACTCCATATCGCCTTGTCTATGGCAAGTCTTGCCATCTCCCGGTGGAGCTTGAACACCATGCTTTATGGGCTATCAAAAAGATAAAATTTGATTTAGAAAGTGCGGGGGAGAAAAGGTGGTTGGATCTTCATGAGATAGAGGAGCTTAGACTTGATGCTTATGACTGTGCTAGCACCTACAAAGCTCGTTCCAAAGAAGCTCATGATAAGCTTATTGAGAAGAAGGAGTTTTGTGTGGGTGATAAAGTCCTCCTCTACCACTCGAGAATGAAGTTATTTCCCGGAAAGCTCATGTCAAAATGGAGTGGTCCTTTCTTGGTGAAAGATGTTTTTGCTAATGGCACCGTGGAGATTTCTCCTTTGGATTCCTCATCTTCTTTCAAGGTTAACGGTCATCGGCTTAAGAAATATTTTGATGGAGTGTTTGTTGGTCTTATTCATAAAATGATTCTTTTCAAACCACCTTGAGTGGGGTGGTAACGTCGAGCTAACGATATTAAACAAAAGCGCTTACGGGAGGCAACCCGGATTCTCACCTTTACTCTCTTTTCCTTTCTTTCTTTTATTTTTGGTTTTTTGTTGATTTTTCCTCTTACCCTTCCTTGTGTTTTTGGTTTGTTTTGTAGGGTGCCTTCATTCATCATATATGGACTAATTATATTTGTTGAGGGTGATAAGAGGTTTTAGAGTGCATGGGAGAGGGCACCCCGCGGGCTTGGAGAGGCCTCGGGTGCCCTTGCTTTCAATTGTGGGAAACGGATCAGTAGCTCTCTGCGGTCTCTCCGCAGGCTCTCCGCGGGCGCTGGTGCCTTAGAGAGAGCGCGAGGAAAATTTAGAGAGGGCGCGGCTCAATTTCTAAAATTGGATCAGGAACTCTCCGCGGCCTCTCCGCGGTCTCTCCGCGGGCGCGACAATTTTGGAGCGGGCGCGGGCGAATTAGAGAGGGCGCGGCACATGGTCAGGTATGATATTTCCGGATTTTTCCAGAAAGTCTCCGCGGTTGCCGCGCGGAAGTTTTGGAGCGGGCACGGCTTTGTCGAGAGAGGGCGCGGGGATTTGGGTTTTAATTAACCCGGTTCCTCTCTCTTTCTCTCTCCTCTCTTATTTTCCCTTTCACTCTTAATTTTCCCCATTCTCTCTCTTCCTCCTCTCAAACCCTAACCCCCAAATCATCTCTTTCACTCAATTTTACTCAAATTCGCCCTTATTTTCCCTTAAATTACCATCCAAACTTCATTTATACTCCATTTTCATCAAGTTTGCTCTTCTTTCTCGTGGTTTTCTTCGGGAATTTCGAGTCTACTCGGTTTTGTGCTTGCTTTGAGTCTTCAATCTTGGTATACTTCTCACCTTTGTTTTATTTTTGTCAATTTCAATTGATTTTTATGCATTGGTTGTGAGTGGCCTTGATTAAGCTTGAGTATGTTTTTTTTTGGTTGTTTGTGTGGTGGTTTTGGAATTATTTTGGATGTTTTTGTGCTTCTTTTTGTGATATATTGTTGATATTGTTGGTTGTTGTTGGATTTTTGGTTGTTTGTTGCTTGTAACATGTACTTTATACTTTGTGGTGGTTTTGGGTGGTCTTGTGAACGGAGGTTTGTTCACGTTGGTGGTAGTGTTGAATATTGTGTTGGTTGGTCTTGTGAACTATGGATTTGTTGAGGAGAGTTAAGAGTAGCAAGAGAAGTTCAAACCAATCTCCCGGCCAATCCTCTCGTGGCCAACCTTCAAACACCGAACCCCCTCAAACCCAAACTACTCAAGATAATGCCCCACCTCCTCCTTTACCCGCTCTCAAATTTAATAACTGGGCTAAACACACCCCTATCTATAATAAAATGAAATCCCGAAAATTTAGACCATCCCGCAACTATTTTCCTGAGGATATGGAAAAATTGGGTGTTGATGCCGACCTTCACATTTTGCTCCGTAATCTTGGTTTGGTTGAGTTTGTAAAGTCATCCCCCCGAACTTATTTGGAACCATGAATTGAATTTTTCTCCACCTTTGAGTTTAATATGACGGGGGATACCGACTATATCATATCTTTTAAACTTTTCAATTCCAAGCATACAATGAACCTTGCGGAATTCAACAAAGCCCTTGGTTTCAACCCAAATACCGACATCTTTGAGCCCTTGGTTGCCCTTCACAAGACAGAATACAATGAGGTTGCTTGGTGGAGAGCCATATCTAGGAAGAAGTTCTTTGACTCTAAGGAATCGCTTGCTAGCGAGATCATTCACCCGGCTCTTCGTATTCTCCACCGGATTCTTGGGTATATAATGTTTAGTAAGCAAGATCTTGGGAAGCTTTTGAGGGAGGACATCTTGGTGCTTTGGATGGCTACAAGGCCGGATTTGGGGCCAAGGTTGAATTTTGGGTATCTTTTCATGAATTGTTGTAAGTTGATCGCCATTGGGAAGAAGACGGGTGAGATTCATTGTGGGGTATGATTACTAGATTGGTGAATTATTTCAAGCAAGAGCGTTTCTTGAGGTCTTGCACTCTGATAGGAAAGAGTGAATACATGTATTTGGATATGAAGCAACTTAACACCTTGCGCTTCATTTTTAAGACTAAGGGAAACGGTGGGTACTCTTGGCTAATGCAAAATGTGCACCATTGTATGCTCCCAAACCCAGCTTCCACCTCAATCACTCGAGAGGCTAGGATTGTTTGGAGGATTCCCGAGGATGACGGGAGGGTTGAGAATGTTTTGGAGGAGGATGATGGTGATGAGTACAATGATGATGATGATGAGCATGATGGTGAAGATGGAGAAGGAGAAGGTGGTGAAGATGAAGAAGATGAAGAAGAGCAACAACAACAACAACTGCAACAAAGAGGAAGAAGAAGACAACAACATCACCAACAAGACTACCAAGGAGATGCATATCTCCGTGAGATGGAGGCTATGCGTGAGCATATGGAGCGCATGCAATTGAGCATGCAAGGTATGTATTCGAACCATCAAACTTTGTCTTTTCAAACTAGCGCCCTACATGACGCTAGTGTGCGTAGGGGGGAGGTCACTCCTCTGGTGAACTACCCTTATTTGTCGCCCCAATAAGGGCCGGTGCCATCTTGGGGTGGTGACAACCTCCCCACGTACCCATATTGGCCCGGGGTTACGAACCCCGATGAGCCAAGGCGTGACTTCCCAGATGAGTCCGGTCATTATGACTACCGGGTCTCGGGGGGGAGTGATTATCGGGGTGACCCCGACTATTACTATGTTCACCCCACTCACCCCGAGCTCTGTATGCAACCAGAGCCTTTTGACCAATTATCCACATCTCACCTTGACCTTTTTAAGGGTCGCTATGGGTTCCCTCCCGGTTATACTGGAGGTTGGGATGTGGATGATGGTGGTGCCGGCCCTAGTGGCCACTAGTTTTCCACTTGGTTGTTTGATTCCCTTTTTGTTTCCTCCCTTTTAGCTTTGCATGTTTTTAGGCATCGCGGTCGATGCCCTTATTTTGTACGGGGGGAATCAAATAGGATGTTTTAGGGTAGGTTTTTAGGGAGGCACCTTGGACTCTTGGGGATGTGTTTGAAAGGGCTTTGATGGATTTCTTTTGCTTCACTCTTGGTGGTCTCGTTGGTATGTTGTCTATCTTGTTGTTTTAGTTTTTGATGATGATGCTTTGTGGTCCCTTCTATTGATGATGATGATGGTTTCTCTGGTTCTTTGTACATAATTTTCGTGTAAGTTTACTTTTGTTTGCTTTTGTTTGGAAGTTACTAACAATTTCATTTTGTATATAGTCCTTTTTCCTTTCTTTTTCTCACCTTTCTCATAGCCACTGCTTTGGTCTTCGAAGCTTCTTAGAGGAGGTCGTTCTTGCTCCTTTATTATTGCAGCATAGCTTGGACGCTTGGTGAGGCCTTTCTTGTTTTATCTATTTACTTTTCTTCTTTTACTTTTCTTGGTTGCTTATATTAGGATTAGTTTTAGGAGAGTTGAACGGTTCGAGGATGTATGATTATAACACCTAGTGTGTTTGGGGTCTTTGGCGATGTGGCCATTTGACCGCTTGTTTGTCGATTGGGAAATACGTGTTTTGATTGCATCTTTGTCCTTTTCTTTGTTCTCCTACTTTTCCTTTATCTTGGTTTTCCATATTTTATTTTCTTTTCTTTTCTTTCATCTTCTTTTTGTTCTTGGTTTTGTACATAGCTTTTTGAGGCTTTATTTTTCACTCTTTCATTCTTTTTTTTTGACTTGGACTTGTAAACATTGGACTCTTGCTTTTGAATAATAACCTTACTAGGTGGTCATGGTATGCACGGTTTGAGATTACGTTTGGTTGATTCTAGGATAAAGCATGCTAAGGTAGTTGTCTAGAACTAGGGGGATCATGAAGCCGGATTGTACTTGTTTGTGGCATGTTGGTAGTTGCTCCCTATCTTCGATTTGACAACCTTAGTGAGTTTTTGCTACAACCATGTGAGATTCATACTCTTTCAAGCATTGATCATATTCTTGCATGAGCGGCATGGATCCTTGACTTTCGCAAACTTAATCTTGAATCTTAACGTATGATTTCTAAGACCGAGACCGAACTACCTAGGGAGGACAAAGGCATCTTTTCGGGGAGGTATTTTTCCTTTTTTTAGGATAGTTTCCTTATTTTTACTTTTGGGTATAGGGATACATTTGCCTACTTGCTAACCCTTTGAGCCTTTTTCCCTTCTTTTCAAGCCACATCTCTAGATCTTGAGCCTTTTGTTTCATTTTCGTTTCCATTCTTGGTTTTTATGAAGCTATTGTTCATTATTGTTGGAGTTTGTGGTGGAGGAATTTGGATATTTGGTTCTCTTGAAAGCAAGTTTGTGTTGTGTATATTTTTTGAATAATGGCAAGTGAATAAATGAAAAAGCCGTCCAAAGTTAAAAGAGGCGAGGACAAAGCACTAATAATGAAATATGAAAAAAAAGTGAAAAATGCAAAAATATTTTTATGTGAGTATTCTTCCTTTTTGAGCATTGAGGACAACGCTCCATTTAAGCTTGGGGGGGAAGCGTTCTCACGCTTTTTGTGTATATGTTTGTGATCTTAGCTTTGAATAAGCTTGGGGGTGTTGGTATTTTTGTTCGGTGATTACTTGGTTATGGTGTAAAGAAATGCGCAATCTTTGCTTCACAATTTATGTTAAACACCAAATTTTAAATTTAGCCTACCTTAACCCTTTTTGCCTTATGTTACAACCTTTGGGAAGACCTGTTGACCTAGGGGTTGATTCATTCATCGGTGGAGGGAATCATGGGTTATAGCCTAAGGAAAGAGGATGCGAAGTCAAGATGTCAAGTAAGCCAAAAATTCGATATTTTTCCGGTTCCTTCGTGGAATCTATGAGACGCTCACTAAGGGGAGATATGAGATTAGTAGGGGGAACGCGGTAAGATCGTTTGGGATGAAAGTGGAGTGTGACAACTAGTTCCTATGCTTAGCATATTTATGT